GTTTCCTGTTACTAAAAATATAAACACAAGCAAACATTTATATAACCGAATAAATGTATTATCAAAGTATATGAGATAGGGCAAAGCAATATTAAGCATGTGTAAGGTGGTAATACGGTGCGATATTATAAATAAAGATTCAAATTCGTTCATTAAATGTTTCGAACCAGTCGTGAATAGTCAAAATGAACGGTCAAAGAAGGATAGTTGCAGTCATTTATTCAAAGAAGTGGCGCTTGGAAAACGGCGAATGGGCTAAGCATATAACAAATGTATAGGTCTCGTGTTAATTTAGCTTTCAATTTTCGAACAAAAATAGTTGGCAGATCAAGTGATCAAAAAATGAGCTGAAGCCTGGCTTAGCAATTAACAAGACTGGTAATATTGAGGTGAGACTCTATTTTTGTCAACCAATGATACACTAACGTTTAGTAATTTTGTGACAGCGAACTAGAATTCATGTGTCCGCTTAGAGATTCATTTTAATAAGAGGCGCCCTCACACATGTCCTATCGAATTCCACCAAGGAAGCTAAAAATAAGAACAAGAACAGACTAGGTCACGATTTTACCGAAATATTCTAATATTTGCCCCCTTTAAGGCATAAAAGATTATCTGACAAAGGAAAAGTAAATAAACGATTAAAACATTCATAAATTATTTAAGAGAAATCATAAGGTGTCTCTCATGACTAGAAAAACTTGCAAATAGGAAGAATGGAGATAAAAAACGATCTGATCAATCCCTTCTTTAAAAGGCAACTTCCAGTAAAACAGTTATATAATGGAAAACTTTGGGATGTACTGATGATCGTATCAACGAAAAAAGGTAGTATATGTTTGGCACAGAGTATTAAAAGCGAAGTGACATCGTTTTCGGCCATCCCATGCAATGCAAGTGGACTAAGTGGTAAAATCCTAAAATATGCCAATTTTGCTTTTATAATTGTGGCGGGTTACTTCTAAGTATTGTGTATGGGCAATAGTAGCAAGACTGGGTTGGTTCAGAGTATTCTGACGGCAAACAGTAGACAAAAAGCAAACTGTGGGTGCAAAATGGTATAAAACGAATAAAATAAGCAAAGTAGAAAGCCTCTCGGCGGAAACAAAAGGAATATAAATTCTCTTACGCGAATTGGGAAACAGGTAATTTTTAAATTATCCTTATCCAACGATAGCACCAAAAGTTAATGTACTCTCATCAATATAATCTTGCTTCAGGTAAAGTATCCGGAACGAATAAACTTATTTTTATTTATCTATTGCTGCATTTACTCTAAAAATCCACCCGACCCTACAAATTATGAGGCTTTCATAGGTCACCCATATGCCGTGACTTATTTTGACCTAGACATTATATCAATGCTAAATGTGTTTGTAAGCGCGTTTTCTTAACCTATCCGAGGAAGATTTTAGAAATGCAATCTCCAACCCGTCCTAGTAACTGAATTAAGAAGTGTGCTTCCCTTCAATTCGTGACATTGAGAAAAACTGAATATGCAATGGGGCGAATCGTAGATATCCAGAAAATGAGAACCCAAACCAAGCGTACCAAATCGGTTCATGATTTTCATCATCCAGCCGCAGCCCTCACGACATGGAGTACATTGGCCACATGATTCGTGCTTGTAGAACTCTATCAGCCTCGCTATACAACGTACAACATCAGCTTGCTTGTTCATCACAATCACGGCGGCTGTACCCAGAGCAGAGTTAACCTCGATAAGGCCATCAAAGTCCATTATAGCAGTGTCACATATGCTAGAAATAAAAGTGAAAGAAGTAATGAAATACTAATGTACGCCTTATGCATTAAGATGAAGATCTAACATAATAATAAAAAATACACAATTCAGCATAAAATTAAACTATATCATGAATCAAATGAATATAATTGTGAAAACGAATTTCGGTCTAGAAGCAATTCGATTCAGATATCCTCGAATTTTGAGCTCATTCTATTCTTCATGCCAATGCACAGATCTCCCTAGTGTCAAGATCCATCTATAATCGGCCTAAGAAAGACATTTCGAGATCAAGCATATTCAGTAGGAAAGTAAGCATAAAAAATAGTTTTCAGACAAAAAGATTTCATCCTTCTGCGCCAACCATATAGCTAAGAGTACTTGTATTCGGGATAAGGAGCAATCGAATAAGTGA